CCCCAAAACCCCAAAACCCCAAAACCCCAGAAATCTGTATTTCATGAATTTATTGCACAATCAAATCAATATAAAATACATACAGATTAAAAATAGTTAATGGATTTTCAAAAAAGCTAATCGTTGAAATTGCAGTCTAAAGTTCATAGTCCTGATGTTTCATACTTGCCTGTGAATTAAATAGCAACTTACCAAAACAACTAAATTAACGCAGGTTCCGAGACAAGTTGATCAAAGTAAGATCCACTTTCAAAAGAGATCTTAATAAACTAATTTAGCTTTGTCAGAAATAACTTGGTTGCTTTCATAAATCAAAGACTTAACTAAACTGCTATCAATTATCAGCAATTTTTCTTCTTTAGTAAATATCTTCTTCATATTACATTTCAGCTAAGGATGATTTCTACAGACTAGTCCAGTCCTATAAACAGAGAGAATTTGATGAGGAACATAGATTCTTTAAAAATAAATTCACAAGTAAGTAATCAAATTTATTGTTATATTTCTGCTTTTTATAAAACTATATGTCATTAGGCACTGAAAATTTAATGAGTTGCTTACACGTTGATGATTACAAGGGTTTAGTCGGAATTGATTTCTAAGCAAGGGACTAAGTCTTTGGAAGTAATCAAAAGGAAGAGCCTATGAAGAAAAGTAAATATTTACTCATTCCCATTTCTCATACCTTGTTAGGCTATCTATAGATATTCAAGAAAAATATGAACGAATTTGGAATTAAAATTTTGATAATTGCATCCATAATTCTTATTGTCTTGAGACTGAGTTTTGAGTGGGAAAATAGAAGGTATGTCTGGATTGAGGGAACTAGCATCTTGGGTATATCGATACTTGTCACACTGGTCTAGTCACTTACTGAATTTAGAATCGGAAAAACTCTTGTAGGGCTTAAAATCACCGAATAATCATTGATAAAAGTACTAACTTAAATTTAATCTTAAATTGTAGTATAAATGCTTAAGAAATACAAAAATTGTAGATATATGAGAAGATGAATTAAGAGTGGGAGATATTATCTATATATTGCCAGGGATGCTTGTTCCTACAGTAAGTGTTCAAGATATATCTCACTAACTGTAGGATTGTATTCTCTTAGATGGATAAGAAGTCGTTGTCAAGAATGAGGGTGATTCAATAAATCTAAAAAAAGAAACTTTTGATACTTGTATTGAACTTAGAAAAAGACTTTTTGCAACTTTTTTCCATCATGAAAAGAATTCATTACCCTCAATGATACTACTCAAATAAACTTTCATTATTCATGGAACTGGAAAACTTTTGGTGATTTCTGTTTCTAAGGATAGTAAGTCTTTACAATTTCTTATATTTTAGGCAATTTATTGGGATTTAATAATGCTACAGAAACAGATGCTAATGATACATACTTAGGATAAAAGATTAAAATGGTATCCTCTAAATTAGGAAAAGTAAAATTTTCATTTAATCTTTATAGTTAGGCACTTTCATATCATTTATTATCACAGTTATCCTATTTATTAGATTCATGTTAGATGCATTATTATTGTAGCCTAACGAATATGACTTAAGAGGACATTATTAACACTACATTTAAGAATGGATTCGCTATCTTTTGGATGGTATAACACTCTTAGTTGCTGCAGTTCCTGAAGGAATTAATCTTGCTTTAACATTAACTCTGATTAATTCAACCTAGGGTATGTTGAAACAAAACTATCTTGTTAAAGCAATGAAATCCATTGAGACTATTGGAAGATGTGAGGTATTTATTTTCCGACTAGAAGAGCTATCTTCAATTAACTCTATTTGCCCAGATAAAAGAGCTCTTAAAGCCTATTCATTGATGTGTGCTGGCGAGATAGATTTTAAAAAGTAAGAGAGAAATAGTCTTTCGAATCAATTAAAATTGAACTAGGATTACAAATGTCTATTAACAGAAAATATCCTCTCAAACTGCTGCTCTCCTCTAGCTCTCAAAACAAAATTAGATGATTGCTTGATCTAATTCTTATTTAGAAAAATCAATTCAAAACTTGAGCTATAGTAATAATTAGATAGAATATAGAAAAATTGCTCAAATTTTAACAGATTATCATATGATTCCTTTAGATAATGCTGTTCTACAATAATCAAAAACGCTGACACCAATCTAGAATTCAAACACCGTATCCATGTTATAAGTAGAGCATCCCTTAAGTCACTTACAGATTGCTCATTTTATCTTGATCAAACAGGGATGGTAAAACCCTTCGATGAAAATACCCTTGAAAGTTATAACAGCTTTTTAAGTGATCATTATAAAAGGTAATTTTTTAATTTTCAATTAATAATTTAGAGGAAATAAAATTCTTTAGATAAGCTATAAAAATATCAGACCTTTAGACGCAAATTTGGAATAGATTTTTCATGAGAATAATAAATTAATCTGTCTTGGATTATTAGCTTTAAAAGAAAAATAGGCTAAATCTTAAAAAACTACAGATGATTAAGAAGGTCAAAAAAAGTTAGTAGAATAAAAGCCAAAGGAGACTATTCAAGTTACTATCGATTGTCTTAGAAAAATGCATTGTGATGTTAAGATATTAACAAGAAAATGCATAGATGAGACATTAGATATTATTAAAACTTAGGATATATAAAGATGGTAGATCTTAGACAGTAGAAAGTTTTATACGATGTTTGATAAAATTGAATGCAAACATTGTAATGCAAAATTAACATAAGATAAATAGTTCAAATGCAAGTGCACGAGGTAAAGTTATTTAAGTATATACTTTCCTATAGTTGGGCAGTTAACATGGCATTATAGAAGAATCCTAATTTATAGCAGGATTTATTTTACTAAGATTTTTACTATGAGATAAATATCATTAGTTTGCAAAAGCTCATCCATGAAGTCGTAATCATTTGTGATGCAACTCCAACTGTTTCTAGACTGCTAATGAGAATATACAGAAATTAGTAAATTTAAATATTTTTTATATATCTTAGAGGAAAAGTTACTGGAGTTGTTGGAAAGCAAGCTGAAGATTATTCCTATATGGATTCTGCAGATTTACTTATTAGTCCCTACCAAAGAATTAACAAGTCAGCTCAAATCAATATTCTGAATGCTCATGTCATAGTAATGAATGATAATAATGATGCAGAGTGCTTAAGAAATGCAATTGCTTTTGGTAAAAGCATAAAGCGAAATTTGAGAAGGTTTCTTAGATTTCAAGTAACAATATCTCTATCTTTGGTAATTATCTGTTTTTTCAGTTCTATCATGATTCGAGAATTTGTTCTACCACCCATTCAACTATTGTGGATTAATATAATAATGGATACTTTAGGCTCATTTGGCTTGGCTTTTGAAAAATAGCATTTCTCTGCAGGACTCAAGGATCAAAGTGACCATTTATTTTCAAGCGAACTAGTAAAATACATCATTATTCACTCGCTGTATTAAGTGACAGTATGTTTCACCTTGCTTTTTGGTGGAGATTATTTATTCCAAAATTTAATAAATGGTCGTAAAATAACATATGATGGGAAGATATTGAATGATATAGACTCTGAAGAGAATGGAGTAAGCTCTCATTATTCCTTAATATTCAATGTTTTCATTTTCATGCAAATTTTCAATCTGATGAACTGTTATTTTTATGGCAACTAATTTTATTTTAGCTTTAGATTCCTTAAGAACAAATTTTCTGATAACTACGTTTTTCTTATTATATTTTTTGGGATGATCGCTTCTCAAATTTTAATCATATAATTTGCTGGAGACTTTTTCTAGGTTTCATAGAAAGGTCTTGACTTTTACCAATGGATCATTTCATTTGCTTTTGGAATAGGTTCCCTCTTTATAGACACACTTACAAGAATTATACCGAATAAATTAATATCTAAAATGAAACTTGATATACTTTTCCAAAAACTAGAGATAACTTCTGCAGAAAGAATAAGAATTGATAAGATTAATAATCGAAGAAGTATTTTGTTTGGGAATTAAGATGAGGAATTTAAAAAGCTTCAAGCTAAAATATTCCCTATAGTTTAAAACCTTTAGTAAGATGCGTAATCAGATGAGCACTCATAAGAAGATTCTGAGAGTCAAACTGTTAATAATAGTCATATTAAGGAACCAAATGAAAACATAGATTCAAAGCGAGATTTGTCAGGGGTCAAGCCAAATTAAAACAATAGTGAGTTTGATGAAAATAACGATAGTGAATTTAAAACAGATAATGATCAGAGAGATGATAATGAAAATCAAATATTTCCATTAGGAGGACGATCTAATTTTCCTTTGAACACGATTCACCATTCTATAATAGAAGAAAAAGAAAGTTAGTAATCATCAGACGAGGATGAAAAATGATAAGGCAAGAGCAATGAACTTATATGTTGCAAGCAAATTTTGATAATTTTTAACATTATTTTGATAATTAATCTTAATTTTATAATCAAACAACTTTAATTAGAACTACAATTTTCGAAGCTACTTATTCAATACTTTAGTCAATCTAGTTCAATGTGATGCATGTAAGAAAGGTATGCATTAAAGAACATCGAAAAGAAATTATTCCAGAGTACCTGATAAGGAATAGGGATGATCAGAAAGTTAATGAAATTAATGAATGGCCAAATCCTCCAGTTCATATACATTGTTGGCCAAAATTTTTGTCTCATCTATTCATTAATCTAAGATTATTTTTTCCCTTCTAGTCGATTCACTACATTGTAGAATAAGAAAAAGTAGGTAGGTGCTAATACAGTTTGATCAAAAAGGATCTTTTTAAAAGCAGATTAAAATCCAATCTAATTAGGTGCAATAAAAGGAAGTACGTAAGTATAGTTTATGTGCAAGAAAGGAGCTATAAAAAAGGCACCTAGTAAAAAGAATTTAGCTGTCCTTCGGAAATCTTATTTTTTATTATAACTCAATTTATACTAATCTGATTTCATCTATTTTATCTTATAGTGCTCGAAGTATTGGCATATTGTATCTCCTAAGGCAGCAATTGCCCCACTTGATATAACTTTTGTAATAAGTGGTTTTCTTGTAAGAATGTCGTTATATTTATGAATTAGATAGGCCATTTTAGGAAAACTACGTTCTATAATTTTAATTATTGATTAATAATGGTCTTTTTAAATAAAATTATTTTAATTATTTTAATTATTTTATCTATTAATGATGAAAAACCAAAGAAATCATGTGCTAGCTTTATCTAATGCCAAAGTAATAATTTATTGATGACATATATTTAGGCTTCAGATCTTGAGGAACATAATAAAAGTAATCTTTGATCATTAATGAAGGATTTAATGAAAAAAACTTCAGTGGGTCCAAGTATTAGGTAAACAGTCAGATCAGAGAATTTTAATACACTTAGCCCTCTAAATTAAATTGACAAATCTTAGAGAAATCATCTTAAGTTTGTAGTAAACAGCACCAAGATTCTAAGTAAAACTGAGAAAAATAGGAAATTTAGATCAGGCCATTAAGATTATGATGATGAAGGTATCGAGAGGGTGAATTTTCCGGACATTACCTCATCTCCTTCATATATTAATACATATTTGGCAGATGCTAGAAATAAATTGACGATTCCCAACTTCATGAATTAAAAGAGATAGCTAATCAATCATTCTTAGGCAGCTGACTAAGATCACTACAATAGAAGAAGTAAGTATGACAGAGCTAAATTCTTCAATAAGGCTGCCCTTTCAAAAACGCAAATGTAGAATTCCAAATCTCCGAGTATTTCAAGAATTCAAAGATCATTGGATTCAGACTAAAGCCTAACTAGCCTTGATAATAATTTTGGACATCAAAAGAAATAAAGCAAAATGAATAGAGATAGCAATTTTAGCCCTAATTTAAACATAACAATACCAAAGATAAGCACTAATTCTCACAATGTGACATTTAGCGATGTTCTTATGAAGTCTAAAACTACCTTGAAAGATTATCAGAACATAAATTAGAGGCATTTCCCCATGATCAAGCCTAGTTTAAGGGTTTCAATTGATGATTAAGAAAAAATAATTTTTGGCGAGACTTAGTATCATAATCCATTTATGGGCTCTAATGTAAGATCTTCACTTAGATTGCAACACAAAGAGAGTATCGATGAGCCAGAATACTATGTAATAAAAGAGGCTGAAGTTATTAGCAATGAAGAATTAGCTCTTTAAACAATTAGATCTCCTAAATAAAAGGAATTAACAGTTGGAAGATTTAAAGTAGATATAGCATTATCTTAGGATCGTGATAGACTAGAAAAAGAATGGATGAAAAAAGCTAACCCAAGAGTCTACAAGTTACTATAAGATCGAGAAGACTTCGAAACTAAAATGATAATCAAAAAGAAAAAGAGAATCGAGGTTATGAATCTTTCAAACCATTAATGAATGAATCATCTTGATGGAATAAAATTTATATATCATATAAACCAATAGTAAGAAATTTTGATATAAGAAAATTTAATTTCATTAATTGCTAATGATTAATTTTTTAACTCAATCGGGGTTTTGGGGTTTTGGGGTTTTGGGG